ACTGCAAAACAGCCCAGAAGGAAAGAGGTGTGCAGAAAGAGAGAAAGATAAAAGCAGGTGGCCTGAGCCACAAATGGCCTACCACTTCAGACAACTTATCCCCAAAGGAAGGTCGCCAACAACAACAAGAACAACAACAACAAAGTTTTTCTGACGGAATTGAACTGTAGACCTCATGGCACTAATATTGTCGCTGGGTCCATCCTTTGCTTTTTGCTGCTGCTGCTGTTTTTTCTGATGGAATTGAACTGTAGACCTCATGGCACCATATTGTCACTGGATCCATCCTTTGCTTTTTGCTGCTGCTGTTGTTGTTATGTGTCATCAAGTCGCTCCCAATTTATGAATGAGCCATCTCCAAAATGCTGTCTCTTCAACTGCCCTGCTCAGCTTTTGTAGACTCAAGATTGTGGTTTCTTCAGGGAGTCCGTTCATCTCATATTTGGTCTTTCTCTTTTCCTACTGCCATCCACCTTTTCTAGCATGATTGTCTTTTAAAGCGAATCCTGCCTTCTCATGATACACCTAAATTAGGACAGCTTCAGCTTCAACATATTTTTTTCAGCATTCACAAATAGTTCAGGTTTGATTTGATCTAGGGCCCACTTGTTTGTCTCTCTGCCAGTTCAGTATATTCTCAAAGCTCTCCTCCAGCATCACGTCTGAATTTTTTTTCCTGTTAGCTTATTTATTTACCACCTATCCTAATGAATAATTCTGCAGAACTCAAAATAAAGATATTGCCCCCTGTGAATTTATTATGATTTAAATGCTTCCCCCTGTTAGTTACATTAGATTGTCCAGTTCATTAGCCACAGGAACATACAAGTATGTGTCCATCTATGCACCCATGCACTGAAAGAGTGCACTGAAAGAGCTGCTTTCTGCCTCCTTGGCTTTTATCCACATTCAACAGTTATGGTTTTCATTCAAGTGTATCTTAAAAATCTAGATTAGCAGGATTACAAGTACCATCATCTCCAGGATGCTTTGAACACTGGAAAAATATTTGTATTTTGCCAGGGCAACATCCAATTTATACCCTTTATTCAGTAAGCTTTATACCATTTATCTCCCCGATACTGAAGAAAAGATATCTGTTTTTATCTTATCTAAACCTAAACCCTTTGATGGGCATGCCTTGTATTGCTGAACAGAACACCAATTGTACCAATTACTTCCTATCTCCCCATCACACTCAAACTCCCACCTGCCCTGATGCTCTCAAATACAAGCATCACCGTGCAAGACTTTCTGTATTAAACCATCCTCCTAGCAACAGCATGGGTGTCTAGGACTTCACTTTATTCAGAGAAATCCTGTTAATCTTATGACTTCAACGACCTCCAGAATTTTTTTTTTTTAAGCAACCTCTCTAAAAATCACATGGCACAGCTGCCAAAAGAAAATCAAGCCTTAAGAAACAGTAGGGGTTCTTTTAAAGAGGCTGCAATGCATTTTTCCGGAGGTAAGCAGAAAAGCTATCAGGGGGTGCTGACAGGAGGACGCAGGAAGTGCTATGGGAACGCTTGACTGCAACCATTAGACTTTACTGCTGCTCTCCTTACCCCTCCCCACCCTCCCCCAATCCAGACACCTTTGTTCCAAAGCGCCAAACACAATTCAAGGAAATTGCCTAGAAGTCAGAGTTGGAGGATGGAGCCCGGTGGCCGAGTTTGGGAGGTGAGGTCAGACGCTCAAAGACAATTCTTGAGGTTGGAGGTTCTGCCATAATGACCTCGGCGGTGCAGATGGAATCTATTCCACCGAGATGCAAGCTTAGAAAACAGCAACAAGACACAGCCCTCCACCAAGCCAGGACAGGATCACCACAGGGTTGTGCGTGGTTGCTGCGGGGAGGGGGGGAAGGTCACATAGGAAGAGAAGGTTTAAGGGAAGAGGAACCCACAAGGAACACTGCTCTGTCTGCGTGCAACATACTAATTAATTTTCTTTCACACTTCGCAGTGGGATACAATTCATATATAGAATAGCAATGGTAGCACAGTTCAACTCCCTCAGCCAGTCCCAAGCCCGATGGAGATCACATATCCCATCCCTTGACATTGTGGTGAGGTGATGGGACTTATAGTCCAACATGTCTCAGACTGGGACATGCCGCCAACTGTTTAACCGCCTTGCCTCCCTCACCAGCTGGCAGAGTTGAAGGAAGGGGCAGAACAAATCTAAACAGATGTAGTCAGATGAAGAAGGCTCAACCATTACGGACACAAGAATCACCTCAGGATGTTTTACCATGTGGCGCGAACTATGATCGCAAAGGGGAAAAAAAGTGTGGAAGATATTTTTAAACACAAGTGCTGCGTCAAAAAATCTTTGTTGAACTGCAGTTGATAGCTTAGTCGTTTAGATCTCTGGCTGCAGAGCCGGGTGGCTGGGAGTTCAATTCCCCTGCGGTGCCTTCTTGACAGGGGCTGAATTTGATGATCCAGAGGGTCCCTTCCAGCTCTGCCGTTCTGAGCTCACTATTACTGTCATGACATGCTGTCAGGTTGCTTCTGATTTATAGCATCCCTATGAATTAGTGCTCAGGTCTTGTAAACTAAATTAGAAACCTAGCTGAAGTCAAACTTATTTTCAGCTCTATACGTGAAACACATGTATACACACAGACTCATAATGTCACTCAGTGATCTACAAGGGCAGAACAATCCAAATCCGAAGCTTTTGAGGGGAGCAAAGAGTCACTCTCTCCCCTAGGCCAAATTTGCCTCTTTCAACCTCCTGCTTCTTAGTAAACAGTATGTGTTTCCATAACAGCCACTACTGGCCCATCTGGCTAGCCCTTACCTCAAACTCCTAGGTATGCAAGCTGATTTCAAAAACCACAACTTTTTGCATGATTTCAAAGGCACTTCTGAATAAACATTTTTGTTTACCTACACTAATTATTTTTTTAAAAGCCTTTTGGAAGCCTTTTTAAAATCACTTGTTACGAAAGCTGCAGATGGAAGAAAAACCTGACTGAGGCGGCTTTTGCTCGCTCTCTTTTTACATAAGAAGGAATTAATCATGGACTCGTGGACTGGGAGGGGACAGGTTCCCCCCTTCCCTCCCTTTCCATGAGCTGCCTATGGAATGTGTCTTCCTGCCACACATATGCCTTGTCTAGAAGCAAATGGGAAACAGTGGGGTTGGTTTTCTTGCTTCAGGGCTACAGTCTGCTCTTACTTACTCATGTGGGCAGGTAACTGCTGGGAGCCTTTGGCCCTCCAGATATGTTGTCCTATGACTCCCAACTGCCCTACCCAAGGGTAAGAGGAGCTTTCTTCCTTTTCTAAAGAGTAGAGCTCTTCCACCACATGCAGAAGGCCCCAGGGAGTTCGTCCAGATAAGACTGGAAAAAGACTTCTTTCTCAAACCGCAGAGGGCCTTTTCCAACCAAACTGGTAGCTCCACTGGGTCATGGTGCTTGGATGATGGGAGTTGTAGTCCTGCACATCTACAGGGCACCAGCTCAGGGTGAGATGAGATACAGTAGTAAGCTAGTGTCTGCTTGGATATGTTGTTGTTTCCTGTGTGCCTCGCTCAGAGCTTGCCTGCAATATGCAAGACCAAGGCTGTCAATCAGAAATATGTGACCGTGCCATTACAAGTCCCATCTTCCACAGCCAGAGTGGGCAAAGGTGAGGCACGATGGGAACTGCAGCTCAAGAAACACCGGTGTTGTGTTTCAATGCCATACTAGGACTAGGGCAATTCCGGCTCGCTTCCACCCTGACCTCTAGGAGGGAGAGGCTGGGTCACCTTGAAGCAGTTTTGGCCTCTCTCAGCCTGACTTCCCTCACAGGGTGAAGGGTGAGGATAAAGCCAGGGAGAAGACGGCCACCTTGAGTTCAATGGAAGAAAGGAAGGGTCCTACGCTTTCCGTTATTTCGATGTGTTGTCAATTTGCCCCTGACTTAGGGTGGTCTTGTGACTTAGAAACCTCCAATATATCCTAGCATCAACAAAGCGATAATGCAAAATAATGCTGAGGTACCAATTACATACATAAATAAAGACATCTGGAGGGGCACACATTCCCCAGGCTGGCAAATCCTCCTCGCACACGCTTCTGCTTGGGGGCCCCGAAGCAATCCGTTAGGGCTGGAAACCTAGGAGATGCACCAGGCTGAAGAAGGTGAGACCAGGGTGCAACGGGACCTTTGGCAATTTCCACCCCAGCATCTCCTGGGAGCAGCCGCGTTCCCACGGCCTCATGCGCTTCTATCATCAACCCCCTTGCAGCCACGTTGTGACCCACCCTCCTGCCACGAGTGCGCCTTACCTGTCTTGTGCCACGGCATAAGCAAGGACCCTACCCTCTCCATCCGCCACGGCTGGCCCTCGCATGGGGGCACTGATGACCTCAAAGTGTCCTCACCCGCCTCTGCGCTAGGAACTCCAGCACACAGATGCCTTCGCAGCTCCCTATGCTGGGAGGAGAGGATCCTGCTGTGTTTTTTAAATATATCTCAGGACCAAATGCAAGAGCAAAATATCTGCAGAGCAACCGCTGTTCTCGGTGGGTTGCCTGGCCATCTCAGGACTGGGAATGGAGGGAGAGGGAGTTGCCCCTTTTGTTCTGAGTCGTTACTCTGGCCTCCAGCCCTCCTGGAAGTCAACTTCCTCTCCCACTTTCTCCTGCCCCCCCCCCTCAACAGGGAGAGGAAATCACCAGGAATTGGCTGTTTAAGTCAACTCCTGCTGGCCCATTGTCACTAGCCGGTCCCCCTTCTTCCTTCCTATCTAGAAGGTGCTGCGAACAGAAAGAATGAGCCTATGCATTTGCAGATCTCAGGAAAGCACCACTGAAAAGACTGGAAAAAAAAAGGAATGTGCTTGCCCACATTCCACTTTAGAAACATTAGGAAAACGGCTCCAAGCTTGGGCAGATCTTGGTTCAAAAGGATGCTCCATTTAGGAGGTGATGGGGCACAGTAAACAAAGCTCTCTCCTACTTCACAACTGGGAGCTGTGACCCACACACAGAGTTCACATTCCCTGCATACTACAAAAATGGATCTTCCGAGCATGTACCAAATAATCTGCGCTGCAAGAAAGAGGCAGATAGCACAGCCGTTTTTATTCTCCCCTTGTCTTTTCTAGATCTATATACAGATTGCTACTCTCAGACTCTTCTTTCTTCCTGCTCTCTCTCTCTGTAGTCGTTTTGCCTTGGGTAGAAAAATGGCTACTAGTAAACCTGCATTAACAGAAACCAGCTCTAAGCAATGGATCACCTGCTTCAATAAACAGGACATTTTCCTTTGCTGCAAGACGCCAATAAATCTGACAAATATTTTTGAAAGTTTGTTTACTGCAAAAGATCTCTGAAATAGCTCAGGCTCGTGAACTTTGCATGGATGCTACTGAACTCTCATCTTTGTAATGCTGATCTAATTATACCTCAGAATCATTTCCCCCAGGGCACAGACACCTAAACTGTGCACATGTGAAAGATATTCCAAAAGTATGTGTAAGAGAAAGGGTCAAACGTTCATAATAATTTTAAAAGATTTTTACCAGCTTAAACAATATTTAATGTTCATAACACACTACATTAATTTTACATGATTTTACTAAGTGTTGCATTTATCTTACAATTTTAATTTATACACTACTTTTTTTGTAAAAAAGGGGGATTGGATGATGCTAAAAAGGACACTAATGGTGCAGTAGTTAAAAGTACTGTAGCCCAGACTCTTCTCATCAATTGGATCCGGATGGGTTCAGGTAGCTGACTCAAAGTTGACTCATCCTTCCATCCCTTCTAAGGCTAAAGGAATACCCAAACCACGGGGTGGGGAGGGGAGATATCTAGCCTGCATAATTAACTTGCAAACCTCCCAGAGAGTGACTCAAGTTCCAGACACCCAGAGAGTGCTGTAAGCGCTAAGCAACACACTTTTGGTATCAAAACGTTTGGGAATCACTGTCCCAGACCCCCAGCTAGAATCATTGACTTTCAACAGTTATAAGTATTTACAATAACCTTCTGCAAAGCAAGTCGGATAAGTAAACTTCAACATCCCTTTCCTCTGGTCATGATCCAGGTCGTTATAAATACTCGCTCCAGAAGATACGGCACATACACTTTACAAAGATGAAACTGATTCCGCACTGTAAATAGCTGGATTAGAGGTCTTTCTCCAGGTAAAAGTGGGTTTTTAAAACAACACAAGTTCTGTTTTCCACACTAATTATTTGCTTTTAGTGGTGCCTGATCATAAATATTTGCTGGACTCTCCTGTTCATATAAACTGCATCTACCAGATCTTTTCCACCTGAGGAATGAATGCAATTAGGAAATTGATATCCCCAAGCTTCTAAATAGGGGGCACCACTTCCAAGTGAATGGAAGTGAGTACTGGCATGAGTGGAGGGATCAAGAAATACCAGGTGGAAAAAAAATTGAGAGAGAGAGAGAGAGAGAGAGAGAGAGAGAGAGATTACAATGCTTCCTTGGCCTGAAACAGTAGAAAGAAAGAAAGAAAGAAAGAAAGAAAGAAAGAAAGAAAGAAAGAAAGAAAGAAAGAAAGAACGAACGAACACAGGGATGCAGGGTAGAACTAATGGGTTTCTAGCCAGTACAAAGTGTTAGGAAACTGTGACGGCAAGAGAAGGGGACGACAGAGGAGGAGATGGCTGGACAGGGTCATCGAAGCTACCAACATGAATTTGAACCAACTCCGGGAGGCAGTGGAAGACAGGAGGGCCTGGCGTGTTCTGGTCCATGGGGTCACAAAGAGTCAGACACGACTAAATGACTACGATGAGCCAGTACAAAGCCAGGTACATTGACTAGTACCAAATATATTTGTACCCCTTTAAATTGGCAGGTGGGAGCCCGGAAGCTCTCCTTCAGAAGGCAGGTCTGGCCCCAAAGGGCTGCCAGCTGCCAAACAGTACCTAATGTGTTTCACTTCCTTGACCATATCACTATGTGACGAAAGCACGGATACACGAAAAGCTATTCTGAAGCTGATCGCTGCCTTTCATGGAATTTTTAGAAACTGGTTGAAGCTGGAGCATTTTGCAGAAGTCGTACTGCATAACTTTGGGCTGCTGAACTTACCTAAACCTCTTTCTCCAGGTAAAAGAGGTTTTTTAAAACAACACAAGTTCTGTTTTCCAAAGCATTGCAACCAGGCCTCCTCCTTTAGGACAGGGGATCAGAAAAATTAAATACATGTTGCACACACTGGGTGCAGGATTCTGGGAACTGTAGACCATAAGCAATGTAAATGGAACTATGTATCACAAAAATTGTGGGGGTTTTTTTGGGGGGGGAGAGTGGACCGTTGGTCCAGATAGGCGGGTCCATAAGCAATGTAAATGGAACTAATTATCACAAAAATTGTGGAGTTTTTTTTGGGGGGGAGGGTTTAAAGAAAGATGCTAGAAGAAGGAAGAGATCCTTAATCCAGGTTCCCACTAACCTGGTGGCCCCTCTGTGTCAAGTGACAAATTCCATCAACTCGGTCAGCACGCTTAAAGATGATACATCATAGGAGATACAGACCCAAATTTACAGAGGTTGCAAAAGTGTGGAAGGCTAGTCTGACCCTCTCCCTAGCCCCTATTGCTCAATGCCATACCCTGCCCATCCATGAGTATCTTTCAAACTTTTCCTGGGGATTCTAGCTGTGCCTTTAACTCCCAGAGAAAGGCAAACATTACTAGAGATGTGATTTGGGAAAATGAAAAGAGATGGGAGGGGAAAGGGTTGAGTACCTCTTATCCTGACTCTACCCTATTCAAAATCTTCTTCCTCCTTCCATTCACCCAGATTTTTTTATAAACGAAAACTAAAGGTACATACATTTTGCATACAAGCTGCAGCGCAATGCCACCCACCAAAGGAAAAACAAGTGCATAATTGCATATGTACAGTAATCTCTTACAGGACAGCTCCAAAAGGATACTGTGAATTGCACCAAAAGAAAAACATGTTCATGCTATATTTGGAAAATATCATGTATCAGATAAACTCCCAACCCCTAGTCAAGCCCTCTGGTGAGCATGGCCGGGAGATACCTTTCTGGGCTGCGGTGACTGTCAATCAATTCAGCAGTTACCAATTGTTCCTTTCCTGCCTCTGATTTTGAACAGAGCCACACCTCTCTGTTTAAGTGTCTTTTCCCCTCTCTTTTTAGTCTGTAGTTAGTTAGTAGTTACAGTTAGTGCAGTGAGAATGTAGTCTGCAGGAGTCCGAAGGAAGCAGTCAGCAATCAGTCTGTTGAGGCCTGTTGCTTTACATTTTTGTACAGCATGCTGTTTTTTAATCTGTTCAGCTGTGAGTAAATGGAATGTTTTTATTCTTTCTCTTACCAATTCCTCAGAATTATGGAGACTGTAAGTGCCAGTTGATAAGAACAAAGGGGTGGTCTACTCTGGGAAGACTTGAAACTAATTTTGGTTTGTAAGTCCTTGCACTTCTGCTGCCTAGCTGGAGGAGTAACACTACAACAAGACATGGGAGAGAGGGGCTAGCCTACAATCTTCCAGTTGTTTTTGGACTCCAGCCAGCATGGCTTATGATCATAACTGATGCCAATGAAGTTCAACTACCTCTGGAAGGATGTTGGTTGCTGAGCCTTCTTCAATAATGTGTCAGTTTCATCAGTCATTCTTTTGGATTAATCCAGTAAGGCCACCACTCCAGCAACTGCCAGCCAAAGACGCCTCATGAGCACAATCACATCCCATGCCAGCCTGCTCGTGTCCTAAAATATGAGGGAGAGCCCCCTTCCCATATCCCAGTTAGGGAGGAGATATGATTTATGTGACCAAGAGAAAGGGCCCTAGAAGTGGCCATACTTAAATTGTGAATTCTTTTCCTTGGGAACTCAGTTTGGCATCATCTTTAGATAATATTTCATATTGCCTGATGAACAACTTTTGGACTACAGGTCCCATAATCCATTGGCCACGCTGGCTGACAGATTCTGGGAATCGTAGTCCAAAAGCCTCAACCCATCCTTTTCTGGTATTTCATTGTATGCTTTTGTTCAGGTGAGATTAATTATGAGTTCCACCCTGCCAGTGAGTTTCGCCAGTGAGTTTCCGTGGCCAAGTGTGGATTCGAACCCTGGTCTCGAGTCCTAGTTCTGCCTCTGAGAGGGTGTTCACCAGAGGCAGCAGGGCTGGGAACCACTGAACACCTGCTCATTGAACTAACAAACCAGCACTTCATGCCCATCTCTAACAATAACTTATGGCGGTCTAATAAATGAGATATTGCTTGTAGGCCTGGCCATGTGCTAGTCAGGCAAGTGGGTATGGAAGCACATTGTTAATTAGCCAAAATTGACTGCTGTGACCCACCCACCCTCTCCCACTTTCTCTTACTCTTGAATAAACTCCCAGTAGG